TCCCAAGGCTAGTCTGTCTCCTTACTTTCACCTTTCAGAGTCCTTTTATCGTTTTATGATGGATAATTTCCAGAGTAGTCAGTTGTGTATAAAAAGCAGGATCAGAAAAAAATTAAATCTATTACAGTTTGTTCTAGAGTCAGAGGACATGGTTTTTAATGTGCCATTTTACTCACAGCAAAGTATGCACGGAGCATTTCTGCTGTACATCAAAGTTTGATGGCTGTCTCAAGAAAAGCACTTGTGTGATGTTTTTAACTGCTTCTGAAATACCATATCATTTTTACTTGAAAGAAAAACTGACATAAAACAGTTTCTTTTTCAGACTTGAATGTTTGGCAGGCATTTTTCTTGAAAGTGAAATGAGCCTATTACATCAAGAAAAACCAGTATTTGTTGCAAATGATGAAATTTGTGTTTGCAAGAAAAAAATCAGAATTTTGGAAACTTTAATCCACCACTGTGAGCTTTTCTTCTTCCCAGTACCTAAATGTGTTTTTGATGAAATCATTTAGTATTTTTAAAATACTGTAAAGTGAAATGTATCAACCTTTGGAAGATCTGGATGGCTGAGTAAACCAATATTTTGCCATGATTAATGCACAATGTTGCAGAAGTACACACAGGTAAAACTTCCCTTTAAAGCATAATATAGACCACTGAATTTTTAAAAAGTTATTAATATTATTTTTCACTGACAAATCACAATCGAATATATTTTGAGGGTTCAATGTAATGTTTTGATATGTATATCTACTGTGGCCTGATTCAATTAAGTCAATTAATATATCCATCATGTCACTTACCTGTCATTTTTATTGTGAGATGTTTGAAATTTACTCTTTTAGTTATTTTGAGATATATGATACAGTTATGTGTTGCATAATGATGTTTCAGACAAAAATGATAAGGTTATAATGGAAGCGAGAAAGTTCTGTTGTCCAGTTTTTCTGTTCTATCTTTACATGTGTTCAACATGTAACTATTGTGTTACAATTGCCTACAGTAGTCAGTACATTAACTTGCTATACCTGTTTGTAGTATAGGAGCAATGGTCTATACTATATGGCCAAGATGTGTAGTAGGCTGTTACTACTAAGTACACTCTATGATGTTTGTACATTGACAAAATTGCCTAACAATGCATTTCTCAGAACATATCCCTGCTGTTAAGTATCACATGGCTATATTTTATTATAGATTACAGTCAGCTTCCCATGTAGTAAAGCTCAAAATCTTTGAGTCATAAATTTTGTGCCTTTTGACCTATAATTCAGCATGTTCATCCCCATTCCAGCCTTTGATAAGCGTCATTCTATTATTGTTATTATCATTTTGGTACTGAGGATTGAATTCATGAGTACTTAACCACTGAGCCATGTTCCCAGCCCTTTTTAGATATTTTATTTGTAGACAGGGTCTTGCTGAGTTGCTAAGTACCTTGCAAAGTTTCTAAGGCTGGTTTTGAACTCTCAATCCTCCTGCCTCAGTTTCCCGAACTGCTGGGATTACAGGCGTGCATCACTGTGCCTGGCATCATTCTACTTTTTATGAGTTCAACTTTATTAAATGTCATATGTAAATAAGATTATTCAATATTTATCTTTCTATGCCTGGCTTATTTCACTTAGCAAAATGTCCCCCAGATACATACACATTGTCACAAATGATGGAATCTCCCCTTTTAAAAGGGTGAATAGTATTCTATTGTGTCTCTCTCTCTGTCTCTCTCTCTCTCACACACACACACATACACACACACACGACCACATTTTCTTTACCTATTTCCTGTTCATTTGTTGGTAGAGACCTAGGTTGTTTTCATATCTTGGCTATTGTAAATAATGCTCCATCACAACAATGAACAACTCAGGAGCAAAGATATTCCTTCACCATAATGATTTCAGTTCCTCTGGCTATACATCTAGAAGTGTGACTACTGCTTTGTGTGCTACTTCTATTTTTAGTTATTTGAAGAACCTCCATATTATCTCCCATAATGGTCATATTAATTTATATTCCCACGAACAATGTACAAGAATTCCTTTTTCTTTACATCTTCCCTAGTACTTGGTACCTTTTGTCTTTTTGGTACTAGCCATTCTAACAGATATAAAGTGATATCTCACAGTGTTTTTTATGGGCATTTCCCTGGTAATTAGTGATGCTGATCAGTTTTTCATATATCTGCTCTCCATTTATTTGTATGTATTTTTTTGAGAAATGACTTTTCATTCTTTCCCCATCTTTTCATCAGATTATTTGCCTTCTTGCTGTTGAGTTTTTTTGAATTCTTTCTTTATTTTGGCTATTAACCCCTTATCAGATGGGTAGTTTGCAAATATTTTCTCCTATTCTGTTGTCTCTTCACTCTGTTAATTGTTTACTTTTCTATACACAGAAGCTTTTTAATTTGATGCCATTCAGTTTTTGCTATTGTTGCCAGTGCTTTGGGAATCATGTCCAAAAATTGATTGCCCAAGCTAGTGTCAAGAAGCTGTTCCCCTGTTTCCCCCGCCCCGTTTTCTTCTTGCAGTTTTACAGTATCAGTTCTTATGTTTAAGTTGTTAATCCATTTTGAGTTCATTTTTGTAAATGAAATAAGGTTCTAATTTCATTCTTCCACATGTGGATATCTGGTTTTCCAGTATCATTTGCTGTGGTTGGAATGTGATTTGTCACTTGCAGAACTCATGTTGAAATTTGATTGTCATTGTGATGGTATTGGGAGGTGGGCCCTTTAAGAGGTAATTGGGTCTTGAATGCTCAACTCTCATAAATGGATGGTCCATTCATGAATTTATGGATTCATGGATAAATGGGTTACTGCAGAAATGTTATATAAAAGCCAGCCTTTCTTTGGCTTGCTGGTTCTATCTCCTCATGTGGTGCCCTTCACCATGTTATGATGCAGCAAGAAGCCCTTCCTGGATGCCAGGGCCATACTGTTAGACTTACAGTCTTAACCATGAGGTAAATAAAGTTTTATTCTTTATAAATTATTAGGTTTCAAGTATTTTATTATAGCAACAGAAAATGAACTAAGACACCATTTATTAGAGTGACTGGCCTTTTTTCATGGTATGTTCTTATGCCTTTGTCAAAAATCAGTTGAATATAAATGTGTGGGTTTGTTTCTGGGTTCTCTATACTTTTCTATTGTTCAATGTGTCTCTTTTTATGTCATTACCATACTGCTTTCACAATAATTGCTTTATAAAATGTTTTGAAATTAGGGAGTGTGTTGTCTCCAATGTTGTTCAATGCTCAAGAGTGTTTTAGATATTTGTGCATTTGATGTAACAGAAAACAAAAGATTCACTAATATAATTTTAGATTTCACTCCTCCTCTTTGTAACTGCCTATCTCCCTAATGTCAGATTTTCTCATATTATCTAACCAGAACAATTTAGATTGAATGTGGAAGCACATGTAAGAATACAGCTGTCCTGTGTGAATAGTCAAGAGATTTGACAAAGTGTGAAACAATTTCCCTGTTCTCCTTTTTTTTTGTTTTGAAATTTATAGTTCTTTTTAAATAAATGTTTTGTTTTTATTAATATTAAAAATGAATAAATATTTTAACTATCACTTTTAATTTCTAAGAGGGTAGGTAATGAAGGTGTAAACCATAAAACTCAATAATTTTTAAGAGTGTAAAGGGTTCCTAAATCAAAAAGTTTGAGAATCATAGCCTAAGACAGCCAAGATAAGAGGAAAAGGGCCAGAGGTGTAGGCATGTGGCATCTCACATTTGCCTAATGAAGAGCTCTTATCTCACTGGGTTGTGCCATATGCTTGTTTTTTTCTCTCTAATATTTGCATTTCCATAAAAGATGCTTTTTCCTCCATATTGAATCATCGATATACATTTGTCTATCTGAAAATAAAGGTAGTAAACAGAACCCTACAATGTAATCTTTTTTTTTTATTATTAGTTGCTCTTCACAACTAAATCCCTCAAAACTATCTCTGTTCTGATTTATTGTAATCAATACAACATGTAAAACACAACTGTGTCTTAATTATGAACCATAACAGAATAATAATTTTGGTTCAATGGTGACTCACCCAAGATAAAGTAATTAGAAAGTTTTACCAAGAACTGACTCAAAGATGATACAAAATATCTGAGTTACTTCTTAAAAAAATTGATTAGTGTAAATGACTTTTGTACTTTTCCTCAGTACTTTATCAAGGTATAAAAGTATAGTAAAACATGCATCTGATTCTTTACAAGATTTTGACAAATAGCTTTCAAAGTTGCAAGTGGTTTGTGATAGTATGCACATGCAAGATGAGAGCAAATTGAGAATAGCAGTTTAAAAAAATAAATCGAAGTGATCTTGGGGAGAGATAAGTTGACAGAATTCATGCTCTGAAATCCTATGTATTTATTAGAATGAGGGCACTCATTTAATTCTTAGTTCTTTAACTTCCAGGTAAAGAAGGAAGTCAAAAGTTTAAGGATTACTTAAAAAACTGATCCATAAGAAACAAATTGATTTTTCAAGAACAAGAAGTTTGTCTCTGTATTGAATCAAGAGTAGAATTTCTGCTATTGTTTCTTTTAAAGTGGACTTAGTATAGTGTAATTCACAATGTACTCAACATCCTTACAGTGAAATCTAACAGCATTCCATTTAGGCTGTTTCTTTAATGTCCTTCAATATGGGCCCATGACATGGCTCCATATCATCCAGGAAAGTAACTTCTCAAGGTCTTATTAGTTTCCTTTCTTTCTTTTATTAAATTTTTTTTTGTAGTTGTATATGAACAGTGCGCCTTTATTTTATTTGTTTATTTTTATGTGGAGCTAAGGATCAAACCCAGTGCCTCACATATGTTCGGCAAGTACTCTGCCACTGAGCTACAGCCCCAGCCCTATTAGTTTCCTTTCTAATATGATAATAATATTTACCCTTCAAGCATTTTGACATAGTAAAGATAATATAGTGAGTGCTCAATAAATTATAATTATTGTTCTTTTGTTACAGTAGCTGTGACAGGCAATGTGATATGATCCAGGTATGGAGTTTTCTGGTGACCTTATGTCAGAAATGGATGTTGCAATGTCCACAAAATGAAGGTCTTGCATTTTTTTAAAGGAAATATTTTATACATAACATAGTACATTTCTTAGCTGAAAAAAATTGAGGGCTAGTATAAAGTTTTACTGCCTAAAAATTGCCTGCTATTATTTGTATCCAAATGAAGAATCACATGATTTGAGTGTTATTTAAGAAATAGGGGTCTTTCAAATATATGTATTTGAATAGAAAGTCATAGCACCTTAAGTAGGCTAAAGAAATGACTGTAGAGAGGTTTGAAAATTTCCTCCAAAATAACTTTGGGTTTGTTCTAACACAACAGAAGAGCTGATGACAGAAATTCCAGACTTGTGACATGAACTGTAACTCCAGATACCTATCTCAGCTAGCACAGTTTTATGTACAAATAAAACAGGCAAGACTACTGTCACTGGTAATCCTTTTAGAGGAAAGAGTAATTTTTTTTTCTTTAGACCACAGTGTTTTCTTCTGGAGTGTTCTTTCAACTATCAGTCAAGTCTCTATCAAAGGAAAGAAAAAACAAGTTTATTAGGGTTAGGTAAATTCTCAGTCAGTGAAGTCTGAGTTAGGGCCTGGACTATATAAACTTTTCAATTTAAACAGAGGAGTAGATTAGATTGTAGTAATTGCACAAGCATTCCACAGGGATGTCTTGCTTTGTTAGTGGTCTTTTAAAGTCAGCTATCAGAGGAACCTATCAGGATTTTGATGTTTTAAATATTTGGAGTCTTTGTTAAGAGTAGGATTTTCTTTCATTATTAATCCCCTGAGAATTTTACTTTAGCAAATTGTGCAGTTGCCACACATTTTCAAAATCATTTAAAGCCACCTTGGGTTATCTACAGAGGACTAACCAAGATTTATCCTGTGTCTGCAGACCGCTGAAGCTAGAGCTGATCTCCCCTGTCTCCACGGGGAGGGCCCGCAGGAGAAAGGCCCAGGTTCTTCCTGCCTGAACCAATCCAGTGGGAAGATCTTGGTCATAAGAATTTGAGTCCACTAGGTTCTTTAGGTATGTGTTGAACTAATCAATAAATTAAGACTCAAACATATATCCCAGTCTCCAATAGTGTTGTATTTCATATTAGAAATTTTCATTTCGATAACTGTTAGATTGGAATTTCGGGGTTTTAAATAAAGCTCTCCTATCATTCTCATTTATTTCTTCTTTTCCAAATACCAAGGTACTTCTTATTTTATTTGGAAGCCCTTGTGACATATTTTGGTTTAAACTGGTTCTTAAAAAATCAGTTATAAAGAGGTAAAATATTAAAATATCAATCTTATTTTCATGATTGAGATTTATAATTTCTCATAGGAAAACTGGATGAGTCTGTGTGTGTGTGTGTGTGTGTGTGTGTGTGTGTGTGT